CCTTAATGGTCTGAGGTATATATCCCTGTAACAACTTTTTTTTGAGTATTTGACCAGATGTAACGAGTAAACTTATCCACTCTGAGATCAATAAAGTCAATCAATAAATCAAACAACAAAAAGGGAATACCTCCTTAAATAACCTGGTTGGAACTGGATCTAACATCCAAGCTGAAGGCTTAGATGAAGACAATACTTTTGCTAACTCTGAAAGTTCAACTGGATCAAAGCAGTCTAAACCCGGTTCAGATTCCATGACTACCTCAGATGTTGCCCCACCCTCCAGAGACAAACCAAATGTGGCTAGAGGAGTGCTTATGATCTTTTTTATAATAAGATCAATCTTATTTATAAAGAATCTCATAAAATCCTTCCTGCTAAGAGCAGGTGGAATGGACGGTTCAACAGAGCTATGGCTCTGGGTGAGTTTGGCAACTGGACTAAAAAGAAATCTAGGATTATTCTTATTCTCCTCTATCAATGAGGAGAAGTATGCTGCTCTTGCTTTACAAAGGGTCCTCTTATACAGCAGTAGACTATTTTTCCAGACTAGGAAGGACTTCCGCAGGCCTGTGGAGCGATATTTTCTCTCCAGTTTCCTAGCATTTTGCTGCGTTAAACCAAGGAGCAAGCTTTCTATCATTTTCAAAGGAGCTGCGTTGTCTAAGGAGCAGAGAACTAGCAACCCCATCAACAAAATTATCAACCTGTGAAGGGGAGTACATAAAATGGTTGCCCTCTGAATTATTGTTCAGCAAGAAATTAAAACATTATTTTTCAGCAACAGAGGAGAGAGAAAGTGAAACAGATTCTTTAGAACTTATAACTGCACTATCTGATAATGATCTGCCAAAGTGAGACCTTCTTTTGGGGGAGGAGAACTGGGAGGATGTTGGAAATGGGAGGCATTTCTTAAAGGTGTTGTCTCATGTGGGTCGTTTCAGTTACAGGCAAAGAGACGTGACCCTTTTTGATCCTTGAAGGAACTGGTTTGAACTGGTTCGAGGGGCAGACGTCTGCCTTATCTTTATCAGAGGTGTCTCTCTGCATCCATACGATGGATGCCTCTTCATGCACCCCCAACTCGAGGCTTAGGCGCCCCATTTGGAACAGAGATGAAAGACGTCAGAGGGCGCTGTCGAAGTTCACAGGAGACTATAGTGTTCAGAAGTCATTGACTAGGAGGATGGGAGAGTAAACACTAATATGCTTTGGAGGAGCACTGACCTAAACCCACCCATCCACATCAAGGGGACAGCAGTGGAGCGTGTGGACAGCTTTAAGTTCCTGGGTATTGCAGAGGGTGGTGAAAACTGCCCAGCACATCACCAGGGCACCGCTCCCTACCATCAAGGACATCTATAGGAAGCGATGACTGAAAAGGGCCAGTAAAATCACCTTGGACTTCACACATTCTGCACACACACTCTTCTCCCTCCTGCCCTCTGTAAGGCGTTACAAAAGCCAATGGACCAGAACCACAAGGCACTGGAACAGCTTCTTTCCCACAGCTGTCACGCTCCTGAACGCCTTCTGACACAACAATAAGGACTGTATTCCCTCATACAATGATAACATGTGGACTGTCCTCACACTCACACACATACCATGGACTGTTCCCCTCACACACATACACAATCTGTATACAATCTGTAAGTCTTACCTCACATTATTTATCTTGTATTATAAACCCACTAATACATATATAATCCTTTTCCTAACATTCCTGTATAATCTGTATAATCTGTGCATGTAGCTCCCATATTCATATTTATATTTATACACAACTTTTTACAGTCCCTAACTATTACTTTTTGCTTGTAAATACACCTGTAATAATATGTATATCCTGTATAGCACTTCTGGATAGATGCAAACCACATTTCGTTGCTTTGTACTCGTGACATACAATGACAATAAAGTTGAATTCTATTCTATTCTATTTAGCATTCCTTTCTCCTGAGCATATAATTTATTCGCTCAATTTCTGGGGCCATGCAGCTTGTTAACCATGTGGTTTCCAGGCTGGTTAAATTTGTGCACATTTGTCTCTATTTCTCTTGATTGGGTCTCTATGTCTTACTGTGCACTGAACGCTCATTTGAATGCATGCATCAATTTAGTAATAAATTGTGCTAGTTTAAGTTCTGTCTCTGATCATCTCTTCTATATAAACAGACCTGGTAGATGTCAGGACAAAGAGTGAGAGAGAGGTGCAACAACTCTTTATGCAACAAAACACAGAAGGAATCAACATAGAGTTTTGCCAAGAGTTGATCAAGTAAGAAACTCTCTCAGCTTAAACAGAAAGCAGAGGTTTATTGTTAGGCAGCCATTGTTCCTCATTAATTAGATTCTTATCACCAGACCGTAGGCGGAGAGATCCAAAAAATAGCAGGATGTCTCACACACAACAAAAACACACTCAAACAGAAGAATACAACAGTTCCATTTAAAGCATGAAACATTTTACTAATGTTTAACCTTAAGACAGCAATTACCAACATGAAGATTCCAGTGATTCAATTATTGAGCATCAGCTCTTATCAGTCATTGCTGGCAACGTCCTGTTTTGGATGTTGATATTTATCACATTCATAATCATCCACAAATATAACATCCTAGGGTGATTCAATTTGACTAATTTAGTTAACTTTAATGTTGGTAGAAGTACAAGGATTCACATACCTGATGCATCAGCCAACCTGCAGAGAGTGAAGCTGGGATGTAGTCCGGGGTTTTTCAGAGGAGGTTCTTTCCGCAGCTCCTTTGGGTTGGGAAGTCCTGATGTTGTTTCTGCTCAATGGAAAACTGCCAGGCATTTTATGGGAATCTGGTTTGGTGTACCACTCCCTCTCATTAATAGTTTGCATCTATTTCACTTGGAAATTGCTGTTGGAAAGAAGACTTTCCAATAGTTACCGTAGAAATTACATTGCAATGGAGCACATCCTCAGAAAGAGATTATGATTAAATGAACAACATCTAACTGAATAAATGCCATCTTCAAAGGTTAACATTTGTTTTCACATTTTTTGACTGATCGAATGTACATTGTTTTATAAAATCTCAAAGTGATTTTATGATCTTTAATATCCATCAAGTTACAGATGCATCACATTAAAAAGATTTATTGCATTGTTCACTAACCATAAGTTAAATCAGAAGACGAGAGATAAAAAGGAGAAATAAAAGTTAGTTAACTTAGTTTAGCTACCCCATATTATTTTCTGGGATGGAGATAATCAATGTGATGTAGTTATCTATAAAGCTCTTACTTGATAGTAAATGGCGAATACTTGTCCTACACTTAATCAATTCACTTCAAAATACATCCAACCATCATTTGCAGTGGTGGGCAGTGCATATGGTACCTAGGCCTTCAGTGGACACCTCTCAACTTAATCTATTTCTTATCCTTCTATGTTCGAATATATATATAAATATATATATATATACTGGTATATATATGACGAGTATGCGCAAGTGAACCACACAGGTTTGTTAATTGAGAAGCAAAAAACAGTCCAGCTCAAATTCTTAGCTTTATCTAATGCATAAGTTCTAATTTCACTATTTATCCATACAAATTTAAAAACATAGCTGGGCCAGCAGCTGTGGCCAAAGGTGAAGCAGGGGAAATAACTGGAGGGAAAACAACATTATAAAAAAAACACGATAAAAAAAAATAAATAAATGAACCTAAACCAAGAAGAAACATGCACCAGGGGATCCACCACCTCAGAGGAGACAATCAGCTCCCAGAAACACAATACATGTTAAAAACATGGAATGAACTATGTTAGCACTAGGCTAAGTTAATTAGCCTCCAAGGGCTAAGTCAGTGTTCGCGCTGTCACCATTATGAGTTGTGCGTTATGCAACTATCCGTGGTGCCATAAGGCACAAATAACACGGAAGTGGAAGAGGTGGCATGTCAGCAGGACCAAGGCTTTTTATGGGAAGACAGCTGATGTAAGGAACCAATCAAAGCAAGACCTCAATTGGAGATCTGCCTCCCACTCTATACTGCTACACACACACACACACACACACACACAAACACACACACACACACACACACACACACA